GGCACACAGCCCTGGCTTGAGCCCTGGCCACAGCTATGCTGGGGGAAGGGGGAGCACAGGCCTGGCTCCAGCCCCAGTTGAAGCCACTGGTTAGGAACACACAGCCCCAGCTCCTGCCACAGCAATGGGGGTGGGAGGCACAGCCCCAGCTCCTGCCACAGCTGCAAGGGGGGCATAAAGCCATAGCTCCAGCTGAAGCAGACCGGTGCAGTTACAGAATTGTGACCAAATCATATCTTTAACCACGGTAGAAGAGTAGATGTAAATATGCCTGAAATAATAGGTATGGTGCAATTAAGTTATACATCGATCATCTTTGCATGAGACAAGCGAGCCCCTTTGGAGCACAGTACTTCACCTCTGAATAACAGAGTGCCAAGGCTGAAGTGAGGAACATATGGGCATTGGCACCCCATGTCATACTGACCAGTTTCCTGAGCAGGTTTTAGCGCACTTTGACTTTAGTTGCTGTCTTTGTAAGATGATAATGATATGTGAAAGTTCTATCCAACATGATGCCTAGATAGACCGGGTGTGAATCATGCTTTATTTGCTGACCATTGAGAACTACATTCATCTCTGCCTCCTTGTGCATGATGAAAGTGGAAGGCACTCAACACAGTCTTACTTCTACTTGGTATCTGGCACCACCCACAACAATAATCAGCCATAGCTGCATTCAGAACACTCAAGTATGTCAAAGGAGTGACTGAGTGCTGAGACATATGTCATGAGGCAACAAATGAGGCGCAGATCTCATTGCCTCAGTATCTGCTCCTGGCTCAACGATACCTTGTGGCAATGAGGCCATGGTAGACTGTACTCAACACAATCCTGTCATCAGCCTTTTAGTGTCAACCACTCTCTGTGTGCTCTTCTTATAAGAGAGAAAACATCACCTCTTAGATATGAAATAATGAATGGCTCTCTCTACCACAGTGGTCTCCAACCTTTTTATGCCCAAGATCACTTTTTGAATTTAAGGGCAACCTACAATCTACCCCGCCTCTTCCCTAAAGTCCCACCCCGCTCACTCCATCCCCCCCACACTCACTCACTTTCACCAGACTGCGGTAGGGAGTTGGGGTTCAGGAGGGGGTGCGGGCTCTTGGCTGCCATCTCAGCCAGCCCCAATGTTTTCACTCTCCCACTCTGAAAGTTTTCTAGACTCAATTTCTAGACTCTGCCTCCCTTCTTTTATATATATATTTTTGAGAGAGGGGAGAGGAGCAGAGGTAAGACATTATGCTAGGTGAGAACATACCACTTAATTTATGTAATCTAATAGTTTTATTACCTTTCTACCCTATTCCTGATGCAGCTTCCAAAACAAAGAAAAGGCACAGTAAGTAAATGTTTTCATTGAGCTGCCCCCCATGATAGCCACGTTTTCACAAGTGCTTACAGTTAATTTAGAACCCAGTAATGTGAACGAGTCGTTAAGATTATTCCTTCTAATATACATATTCTTGCATTTAATAGTGAATTTCATGTGATGTGATATACTGGCTGCTCAGCAGGCTTTGACTGGTCTTGCTGAAGTTCCTCACAGTCCACTAAATTAGCATCTGCTAAATTTATTGCAGTAGATGTTTCCCCTTCCCAAACATTGACAGTTGCTCTACTTAAGTTACTTGCATATTTTAAGGTCCAATTATCTTGTTCATCCTTTTCCAAATCATTGATTAATATACTAAATCAACCTTCTCTAAGGAGAGTTAAACGCTTAAGCCCTTTCAACACTACTTCCAACAGTGAATCTAGGCATCAAGATTTGCTACTGTAGATGCAGCTTTGATGAGGTAAAGATGAAAGGAACAGAATGGAGAGGGAAATTTGGGAGACTGAAGTGCAGCAGGAAATAAAATCACTAAGACAGGCAGGGACAGTTACTTAGACTAAATGTAAATTTGATGCAGTAAAAGGACAATTAAGGGATTCAAAAAAGCATTGACCTGATCATAGCATGAAAAAAAGGGAGGAATAGTCAAATAGGGAGTGTTTCTAATGGGATGTCACAGAGTTTGTTCTTCACCTAACCTTATTCAATATTTTTAATCAGTGATCTGGAAGAAAATATAACATCATTCCTGATACAGTTTATAAAGATTAATGGGGTGGCAAATAATGAGGTGGACAGGTCAGTTGTACAGAGTAATCTGGACTATGAGGTAAACTGGGCATGTTCAAACATGTTTTTAAATATACCCAAATTGAAGGTCATGCATCTAGGAACAAAGAATATAGGCCATACTTAAAAGGATTTGGGACAGAATCCTGGAATGCATGACACTGAAAAGGATTCAGATCTTGGTGGATCAACTTGGAGGATAACCAACTAAGCATGACCCCCTAGTGCGATACTATAGCCAAAAGGGGTTGTCTGGATGTATGAATAGGGAAAATAGAGTACAAATAAAGGAAGTGATTGTGATGTTGCACTCCATATGTTTTAAGGAAATATGTTTATAAGTTTGAATATGATATAACTGGAATATGCTTCATGCAAAAAGTCTCTTGTAAGATATCATTACAAAGCTTATGATCTAGTATGTGTGTTCATCCTATTTGAATGATTATATCATTCTTGTAGTTGAAGCTACAAATATGAAGTATTATTCTGAAGTCCTATTGTAATTATGCAAAGTGTGGGCCATTAATGGTGGCTTGGAATCTTGATCTCCCCTTGACTAGGACAATTGGTTGTAAATGGCTCTGTTTACTTGCAAGCCTTCCTGTGAGTCAGGCCAGGAAGAATGGAGGCTTGGGGTCTCACAGGACATGTGACCATGTCACCTGTTACTGGAATCCATCTTAAACCTGGTGCTTTTCCATTTAGGAGGGCTGGGAACCCAGAGAAACAAAGGATTCCCACCTTGTACCAAAGTTATAAAAGGGGGTGGAAAAGAACAAAGGGGGCTGCCAGTTATGAGAAATCCCTGAGCTGGAACTA